TAAAGACCAGAGTCGAGTATATTAAACTATTCCAACAATTGTGTACAACCCTTCATGCTACAACCAATGAAATAGAATCCTGCAGTTAAAACATTTGTTGACGAAACGCCTAGTTTAAAAAGCTGACGAAAAACGGCAGTTCTACAATTAACTTTGAGCCGAGAAGTTGCAGCGTGACCTGTAGTTTCGTGTCTCTTTAATTTAATATCATTTTTGTACCTCTAAATTAAAACTTTTAGCAAATAAATAGATTTATATATTTGTCAAACCACACAAATATTGGGGGCTCGCCCGAAATTTCGTTGTCGCTAAATACTTGTACGGAATCAGTGTCGTTAAACGCTCATCCGCAAATAGTGTCGGGAAGCGCTCATCGGAATATACAGTGTCAGCCAGCGTCGTAAAATATTGTGCGAATTGCGCCTCAGCTGAAGTTCCAGCCATCAAGGAAGTAGCAGTTGAATCTCATTGCAAAAGCATAGTCCGCTGCGAAGACAACTCAACCAGAGCAGCCAAGTGGCGTCTCAACTCAAACGTAACGTGCAAAAGCCGCAAGCACTTTTCACGGCGAAGCAGAAGTAAGCAGAACTAGAATTCAAAGTCAAGAATCTGATTGGAAAATATGAATTGAAGTAGAAAGCGAAAAGTAAGAAATTGAGTTGCAGGCAGTTGACAAAGATAAGAAGCTGAAGGTGATTTGTGCAGAATTAGAAGTTCGGAAGAGAAAATCTAATTGGAAAAGCCGAAAAATAGAAATACGTTGCAGAATTCAAATTGAAGCAGTAGCAGTCTAATTGAAATTGCATAAAATACGAAGCAGAACTGAAGTAGCGAGAAGAATACAAGCAAGTTGAAACAACGAGTGAAGCAGAACAAAACAAAAAGAATGAATGAGTTGAAGACAGAAGGAAGCAGATAGTTTTCGAATATTTTATGTTAAAAGTAGTATGTGTAGATAAATACATATTTACATTTAATTGATTGCTTTGATTTTGCCTATGCATATGTACATTGTCATATATTTTCGCATACAATAAGATAATATTTATCAATTTTAAGTAACTTTTGTAAAGGGGTGACTGTGCAACATGGACAGGCAAAATATTTTAATATTTAACGTAAAACGATTACAAAATGCTCTCCGTGATTTGAATTTTTCCACCTCTGGACGCTCGCATCGTTTATTGGAGCACTTCGGGTTTGATACGGTTCACAGTGAGGACGACGACAATTCAGCAATGGGTTCATCCTATGAAGATGCGCCTGACAATATAGTTCAAGGCTCCGCCATCGGTGTTGAGTCGGTTGGTAGATCAGTGTTCACTTTTAGAGATATCGGGGAAAGTTTGTCGCGGTTTAGTGGAGATGATTCCATAGATGTTAGGCAGTGGGTAAATGAATTTGAGGAAAATGCTACAACAGATGGGTGGAACAATATTCAAAGATTCATTTACAGTAAGCAGCTGCTCAAAGGTGTAGCAAAGTTATTTGTTAGGAGTCAACGAGGCATTTTCAGCTGGCAGTTGCTAAAAGAGGCGTTCATTGCTGAATTTGGGTTACAATTATCGACGTCAGATGTGCATAACAAGTTACGAAATCGAAAATCAAATGAAAGATTTCGTGAGTACCTGTATGCACTCATGGAAATTGGAAAAGCTATTAAAATTGACGAACCTAGTATAATTTCATAATTCATAAAGGGTATACCTGACTCGAGGGGGAACAAAACGGTGTTGTATCAGGCCAAGTCGATTAGCGAGCTCAAGGAGCAAATAAAAATTTATGAAAAAGTTTATGGCAGGTCAAGTACGCAGAGTTTAAAGAGTATCAGTCAGCAGAATGTAGGGAATGCAACAGCTAACCAAACTTCGAAAACATGTTTTAGATGTGGAAGCACAACTCATTTGATGCGTGACTGCAACAGCAAACAAGTAAAGTGTTTTAAGTGTCAGGGAGTAGGACACAAATCTTTCGAGTGCACGCATAAGGATGTAGCTACAGTCAAAAAAGAAAGCGACAAAGCTAATGTAATAGACGAACAGAAGAAAGTGTTTAATTTAGCATTTAAAACATTAGTTGTTGGAGGGTTACAAGTTAATGCACTGGTCGACACTGGATGCAGCTTGTGCTTGATTAGGCGCGACATTTTTAACAAAGTTAATTTTTGCGGTGAAGTGAGCAATGAACAACGTACATTGTATGGCATATGTAAGAAAGAATTATCAATGTAAACAAGTAGAGGAATGTGATATGTATTAGCGCTTACGTGTATTCTATGTTTCCACTTAAACGTATATTCCTTATGTATGGCAACTCTTGTACCTTAACTAAGAACATAACGTATGGTATAAGTATACATATATGTAATGGCTAACAAAACGTAACGAATAAAGATAAGTTGTTAAGTGGATGTCGAAGCGTGCAAACGTGTCAATTGGCGACGAGTGAAAAAAAAAAATAAAATTTATAAATTAAGACAAAAGAAAAAGTCCACGTGCTTTACAAAATGACTGCATTCGTAGGTCGTATTGAGCAATATA